TCCTGGACACCTTATTCCTGGTTGCTGTGTTGATCCCATCTTCCACCTGACAAGTCCGGTGCTGTGACATCAGTTTGCCTTTGTGTGCCTGTGCCTTCCAGCAATGAAAGAATTGCTGAGGCTGATAACGGTCACAGTAATATTTCTAATACTGAACTCAGCACTACCACATAACACATTATGTTGATTTCATGCCAAGGAAGTTGCAAAACAAAGTGTTTCTGAATGCGGTTTTACATTACTCAGAGAATTAATCTGTTGGGGCAGCAGGCTTTATCCTGCGGACAAATTTGTTTGTAATCCTCTGAAGTATTCTACCATGTGACTTCCAGAGATAAAAGAGCCTCCTTCAGAGTATATATCCACAATCCACACTGAGTGATGCTATGTACGGTGGTATCTCTAAAAGTAGATTAACTTTTAATTATTGCAATTTCTCTCATGAAAGAGACTGCAAGGTATCACACATTCTCTACAGCTCTCTACATGTTCATTCTACAGGCAGAGGGCATTTTATGTTAATTTACTGATTTGTTTAAGACAGGAGTTCCAGTAGTGAGTGACAGTAAGTGAAAAAATAAAGCAAAAATCAATATATTATCATCTGAGAAAATCTGACGGCAGCTTCTTTAATACTGCCATCTTCCCAACACTGTAATTATTCACTTCTTTCAATAAGAAAATTCTTTCATGCTGTTCAAACCCCATTTTAGCCTAGTTATTATATTTCTTTGGATATTGGCATTACATTGTTGTTACACATACTGGACTGCTTGCTTGAAGCTTCACTAGCACACAGTATGAATTCCAGAAATCTTCCAGTACAAATGAGCACAAAAATCAGGAGCAAAGTGGAGCAGGAAGCACAAATACATGAGATAACTTGTATTTGATGGATTTCTACCATCTGCTACACTGCACTATCTTGCTAAACACCCGTGGATGGTATTAGCAACACCTGTCTAGTTACACAGCACTAAAACGTTTTTGTCTCTGTGTGATTTGTCTGTGTCCAAAGCACATCAAGAGAACATAAACCCAAAATACACCATTAGCAGTGATCATTAGTAGAGCTGCATATACAGGAACTTCTAAAAACTATTTTTGTAGATGAGACCTCTCAAATTCTTGTCTACAATATACACTTGTAAAACAAAAGAACTTCATTTGCTGTTTTTCATAATGCAGTAATATTTTCTAAGGATGTCCACCAGGAAAGGTTAGAAAAAGGACAAGAAGTGATAAAATTAAACTATTCATTGCAAATGTGAAATACTATTTTACACACCTTGCAAACCCATCCTTTTTTTGTTAACCTTTCAGGAACATAGTGGATATGAACATCGTTTCTTCGTGCTATCTGCAATATGATGCCTATTAAAGATAACTGCATGTGAAAGCAAAGGTGTGAATGTCTTAACAAAGGATTACTTACTATGGCTTGAAGATATTTTCATTTGGATGAGAAGTCCCTAATAAGACTTCATATAGATTTTTAATGGTCTCCAAGATCAGCAGAATCATTTCTTAAATATGAAGGTGAAAAAATTAGTGGTTTATGGTGTAAATTCTAGCAATAGTTTGCAAGTTTTGCTCATTATTATCAGATTTTAAGAATTTGCTATAAAACTTAATGTTCTGCGGTGGACTTGGTTCTGTTTAAAAATCTAATAAGTGGTTGCAATTATCTATACATCTTATGGTAGAAATAGTCACATAGCAAAGGGGAGGCAATACAAAGCCAAACCCTTATGGAACTTTGTTTTCTTTATTCCTTCAAAAATATGTATTTATTTATTTTCTCTATTATGTTGCACACATCAGCTGCCCATTAGCCAGTTAATCAGTTGGCACCCTTTTTGAATGTGCCTCTTCATTAAGTAGTGTATTAAAGTGTTTCACACTCAGATTGCCCAGTTAACTCTTCATAGCATAGATTGGCTCATTCAACAAATCCAGCAGAAAGAGGGTTATGAGGAAGTGTGAGAGAGGAGTTCCAGTGCTTAATACCATGTCACATACTGCAGGTCGCTCTGTTCTTCAGTCTGTTGCGAGTTCGGTGTTTGATGGAGAAGTCTTCACAGCTTGGAATAAATCATCAGAATTATTTTTAAAAATTGTTGAATCTCTGGGAATTAGTCCAGGCTTGTTCCTGGATAACTCTAGGCAGATAATGCTCCAGAGAACCCATGTCCCCTTTCCTGTCACATTGCCCAAGGCTGCCTTGCCCAGCTAATGCCTGCTGTCCCAACACAATCTATCTGTTCCAACTTGTTGGAAGCTCATCAGTGGTGAACAGCATGCAGCAACAGGGATTCAAACTGTCAGGCAATTTGGAGGGAGGCTGCATGAAAGAGCCTGCAGGGGGCCGGGGGGGGGCTGATTTTTGCCATAAGGAAGCAACCTCACCCAAGCTTGACTGCTGCTACCCGGAGGAGGCCAGGAAATCAACAGTGTCCATGAAACCACTGTATAACAGGTTAATCTTTTCTGCACAAAGCACCCACTGGGCACCCTACTCCTCCTGCCACTGCTGCCATGCTGTCTCTTGACACTGGCATGTAGTGAACAACAGTGGAGGGGAGGAAGAAGAAATGGGACAGTTGTGCCTGGTGTCTCTCCATCCCCAGTGCTGCAACACTCCTATGAGACTACTGCCCAGTGGGATGCCACAGGCACCTCTTTGCCCTGATGACTCCATATAGCTCTTAGCTGTGTGCTTGCTGCAGCAATGTTCTGTACATGGCTCCCTTGCCAGCAGCCCTCTTAAAGCTCCAGCAGGCATTTCTTATACAGCAGGAGTGTCACAGCCATGTCAGCATCAACCAGAAGCAAGGGAGTGTGACTGTCATTAACCAGTATTTTCTCAGGCCTTAGCCTTAGCTTCAACTTTTGTCAGAGATTGGGAACACCATTTACTGCTATTTGCTTCCTTCCAAGTCCCCATCCTTACCCTCTATCTCTAAAGAAGAAGGAATCTTCTTATGTCTTGAAAAAAAAGGATTTTTGCAGAGCTCTATAGGTAGTCTTTGCTGAACCTTGAAATTGGTGTGGTGGCTTTCACAGCCCTTCTGTAATAATTAAGCTTTTGTTGCCAACCACCAATGTGTTGTTAATGTTGCAGATTCAAAATACCAATATAAAGCTAAACTGAAGAGCTGAATTAAAAGGCAAGACTGCCTTAAAATTTACAATAAGTGTCTCCTCTCACTCATGCTAACACAGATATAAGCATCAGCTAGAAAACGTAGTAAGTTCATTAACTGGGAACGCTGCAGTAGCAGTTACAAGTGGTCATTCCCTCCTCCCTTCCTCCCAGATCCAAGTAGACCCAAGCAACCTATGGGGACTGCACCCTCAAATGTCCCTAAAATGAGAGCACCATTACCTGGGAAAGGATATGCCCAGCCAAGTCAGAGGATGCTGTAAAGCCACACCACAGCCACTGTTAGAAAAGGTTCTACACAAATCAAGTATGCTTCTCTTGGGGAGGGAGGAAATGAAGGAGAGATAAAAACATTGCCTGTCTTTGGGTAACATTCAGCAAGGACTTAGGGGCACCTTAGTGATAAAAAGAGGAGAGTTTCCTACAGAACCACTCACAATGGAGCTACACAGCTGGAAACCTGTATTTCTTTCTGCCTCTGAACACACAGGAGCTCTAAATCTCCTGTCTTCTGCAAAACAGCTCAGAGCCAGAGGAGCAATCTCAGCTGCTCCAATCTGCAGGAAGAATGAAAAGCTGCCAGGAAAACCACCTGATACCCACTGACACACAGAGGTGCTATTATTTACTGCTCAGTGAGACCAGCAAACGATTATACTCAGCAAAGAAAAATGTTTTAGGTCTAAGTAATTATTTTACCCGTGACCTTAAAATATCCCTGTTGGTAGGAGTTTTCCTTGCAGAGGGCAGTCACTGTAATAGGATCAGGCAGTACGTTTCTTCATGCCAAGTCACTGAATGTTAAAATGATTTGTCATCTTTTGCCTCAGGCCACTGCTTGACACACACATGCCACAGTCTAATGTCTCGCCTGTTTTGACATCAAAGTGTCTTCCTTCTGCCATTGCCAACAAGAAGAAAGGCAAACAATGGCAGCAACTTCTTTTCTTTCTGAAGGATTTCTAATTAAATAAGTGTCCTCAAATAGCTTTATGGGACTAATGTGGGGGTGGGGAAACCTTTCATAATAAAATGTATGAAATGCATAAACCTTGTTTTCTCTCCCCCCCCTTACAATTTTTTTATTTACTTCACAGTTGCATTATTTTATTTTCTGTAGAGATTTATGGCAACGTTATATGACATTTCCTGGGCTTTTACAGTCTAACACCTTTTACAGCTCCCTCTTAATGCCAAGGGTCATAAAAGATAGAGTTCATTTCATTTTACAAAGGGGAAGGGGGAAGATGTTCCGTGCAGATCCAACAGTTGCAGAAAGGCTTTCACATGCTGAAATGTACCATCGTTAATAGGTTCATTGAGTCTTTTAGTAGCAGCAACTCTGCCTATTTTGAGGGATGGGTGATGTTTACAGCACACCACAGAGTCCTGATTTCCCAGTTCACACCAGCAATGCAGCAAAGGTGTGCTCCATGGTGGGACTCATGTGCAGCTGGAGCACACTTCCAAGTTTGGTGGGGGTGTCTTTGGTTTTCCCATTTAGGTGTAGTCTGTGCTATTCACTGATGTGTCCTCACAGAGAGATCATGCTTTTCTAGAGAAGTCTCAGAGAAAAATGCTTACTTCTTGTCCATCCCATTTTGGGGATGGGAAATCAGCAATAGAAAACTGGAGGTGCCAGCCAAACCATTACAAGATTCTTCCTTCAAATGAAAGGGGTCCTTCCGATGGCAAGTGGCGTTATAATTATAGACTAGAAAAGAGCAAGATCAGCAGCTGCTGCTGCTGCTGCTGCTTGCGTTTGTTCCCTCTGTAACTGACAGGGCAGAGTACTTGGCAAAAACAGACTTCCAGAAGTGGAAAGACATTTAACCCCTGTTCTTGTCAGTCCATTCCTCCTGGGGCTCGGCAGCAGCAACCCCTTGCTTCAGGTTAAAGGAAGAACAAGGTGATTATTGCAAACCTGAAGGGGACTTTGGGGCGCCTGAGGAAGAAGAAGGGTCCAGGATTTGCCTTCAGGCTTGGACTGCCAAATCAAAATAGCAGGTTAGTGCTTAATATGATTTTATAGTTAGCTTAACTTGAATCTCTCTCACTCACTTTCTCTACTACCCCATGAACTAAGAAAAAAGGTGACACAATGACAAGGGGTAGGTCTGAGCAGAGCCACTATTTATTTATACATTCTCTAAAGTGCCTTTCATGGTCAGTTAGGAGACTGATAGCTGTTATTTTTTCCTGTGGTTTCTCTTTGAATCCTAATGCATCCTGAAATTCTCAGCCAGGGAAAAATCGCATTTACAGGTGGGCTCAATATTAGTAAGGGAGGGGGGAAATGTTTTATTTTTAGGTGTTCATGCCTAATGGCTTCCGATGATCTTAGTGAATTGGTGTAATATATAACTCACATTTCAGCCTGTGCTTGAGAAAGTTTTGGAGAGGGAACAAACACCAGGCAAAAGGAAAAGCAGCATCATAGATATGAGCCAAAGTCTCTGCAGGCATAAAATGGACATAACTTGTATGATGTCCTCAACTTGCAAATCCAGCAGAAAGCCTTGCTCTGTACCTGCTAATGAAGTTAAGAGCAACACAATTAATATCAAAATCTTTCATGACACCAGTGCCTGTAGTATCTAATCTAATGCTCTCTGTCCTTCTGTGGCCTGGCCAAAATAGCGCCCAGGCAGGAATGCGCTGGGGGGCAACGTCATGCTTCACTCTTCCTATCTGTCTCAGTTTTAGCTTTTTAATTTCCTGTGTCCATGACTAATGTTGGAAAGACTCTCAGTCAACGTGCTGCCCATGAAGCAAGGTCTTGGGACCACCTTGCAAGAACCAGACTCAAGGCAATGCTTTATGCCAAAAGTTCCTGGGAAGCAGGGGGGGAGATGCACCCAAGTTGTTCCCAGAGGAAAAAAGCACAAGTGCAGATTTAAATCTGTTTGCTATGTTGTGAAATCTAGTCAGACAGACACATGGCTGTCTCTCATAGCTTCATATAGTCATATAGTTTAAACCACCTAATCTGAGCTAATGTATATTTTAGGACATCGAATTATATTACCCTGAAGTCCCTGTATGAACCCAATCATGTATATTCAATGAAGCATTTGCTTAGCAGGAAGCAAAACCACAGTGCATCACAGGCAAAGCAGAGCAAGGAAACCAAGGTATTGAAGGCTGAAACTGCTGTAGCAGTCCCAATTTTCTTTGCCCCATTTCAGAGGTGGAAAGAAAAAGCTGCAGATGACCAGTGCTTCTCAAGCTAATGTGAAGAGTTTCTATTCAGAGCCAAGGACATCCAGTAAACTGCTAAGAGAGATGGCTGGAATCTGATTAAGTGAAATATAGTTGTTTGAATCAAGCAGTCAAATAGTACTTCATGGATAAAACTCTCCTTTCCCAGTCTAATGGGATGGGGAAATATTCTTAATTCTGAATCCTATTGTCATTACGGACCTGCAATTGTGGCCAAAACCATCCACTAGGCCTTGCAAGACAGGATTTGCTGCAGGTCTGTAGAAGAGGTGGACCCATTTTGTTCAGCTCAGCTCCTGGCCAGTTTCTGGCACCATCCAGTCATGGATGCCTGGGAGGATGACTCCTTTCTGAACCCCATATCCAGAAACTGAGCACCATGACCTGATCTAATGGGAGGTGCATCTGTCCATGGCAAGGGGCTGGAACTAGGTTATCTTTAAGATCCCTTCCAACCCAAACTGTTCTATGTTTCTATGGTTTTGACACTAATCACTGCCTTCCTGCAGAGCTGCAGAGGCTATGAAGGTGCTGTAAAGCAATATTTATCCCTCCATGGCTGAGAACAAAAGGGACTGAACAGAAAGTTCCCCAGGTGCCCAGATACCAGGGGAGACCAGCAGAGCCACTCAACCTCAATGCTGTATGTCCCAGCTATGTGAATTCTTCCTGAAGGTCATCTTTTGTCCAACTATCTGCTCTCATCCTAAAGATCCTACACCACAGTGTGTCTATCCAGTCCCATGTTCCAACAGTTTGTTGCTCGCACAGTTAGCAATTTGTATTTTACTTCAGACTGCATTTGTCTAACTTTATCTTCTAATCATCGCACTGTGTTACCCTGGGGGTCTGGATTCCTGCCAGGCTATAAGACCTCACATTATCAGATATCATTTTTAGATCTAAGTCCCTACACGTGGGTAGTCCCACCGGAGGTTTCCATTACAGATTAGGTATTAGTGGGGAGGTAGAGACACATTTCTTGATGTTTTGGGTTGAATACACGTACTCCCCAGCATTAATGGACAAAGGGCAAGGACTAAAGCCTCCTGTACTTTTAAGAGAACTCACTGTATCATTAAGAGTATTTTTTTACCACATTCCTCCACTATAGCCCAGTCACAGATTTCTCCCGTTGCTTATTAAAGCCCCATTTCTTCTGGGAAATGGAAATCTCTGCTTCCATTTTCTTAAGTGTTTCATCCTGACCACATGCTTTTTAGCAGACAGAACTGTGTTTCTGCGTGCCAGTCAGCTTGGCTCCTGAACTGAACTTTATGGAGTTCAACAACAAGAACAAAAAATTCAAAGGCCTGTTCCAAGTCTCAGAAAAAAAAGGAAAACTATCATTTGGATGCTAAAGAATAAAACACATGCATCTTAAAAAAACCCAATAACACAAAAAAAATCTCCAAGCCCATGCTGGCAAACCTTGAGCAGCCGTTCTGCAGGGAAGAAGAGACAGTCTGTCAGCAGTAGAAGGCTTATGTGTCTTTTCCCTGCTAATTCCCTTGGTGACTGAGAGAAAAAGTTGCACTTTTACAGCTGAATTTTAATGGCTTACTTCATGCTCTGCATCAGAGGCACAGCCATGTTGCATGGAATACCATCAAGCCTATTAACTAGGGGTTCAGATTTTTCTGAGAGTAAAGGACCTACAGTGGCATCAAGAGAATATAGACAAGAATCTTATTTATGATACACAACTACCTTGAGGCTTTGTCTTGTCTTAGTTAATCTCTGCCTTGAGGCTTTGTCTTGTCTTAGTTACTCCCTTTCTTCCATGCTGTACAAAACTGGTTTCATCCACATTTGGACTTTGTTGGGGGCATTTTTGTAAGCGCATGAAAGTTCCTGTAGCATCTCCCTGCACTGGGTAAGTATGTAACAAACCCAGCATAAAATGTTTACTTGTATACTTTTAGTGCTTTAATTACACTGTGTCACATATTTCCTACCTGAACAAGCCTATGGCTTTTTTTTTGTGTGGTATTGTGAGTATGTGAGTATTGATGAGTATGTCTAGCTGTCAAGCTGACAAATAACAGGGTTCCCCACCTGATCTCAGCTGCTGTCGTAACCACTAATGAAAGAGGCAGTCTTCAAATCTCATTTAGTTTTAGATGAGTATAATTACGAAAGCTAGCTAAAAATACTGTCTGGGGAGGAAGGTGTATTTGTGGAATTCAGCTTTACTTCTCTGTTGAGAAGCCAAGAAGTTTGGAAAAGAATTTCAAGCACATTTACTTCCTTTTCTTTCCTCACACCAGACTGGAGAAAACTGAGAGTAAGCAGATGTTTCAGAGGTGTAACGTGTCCCTGCCACTGCTCTCCAGGCAGATGGCCACATTCAGTGCTAGCTGTTGCTTTTGAGTGGTCTTTGAGGTAAAGCCCAAAACCAGCCTTGCATCAGTGAATCTGCAGGTCTCAAAGGGGCTTGTAACTGCACGACTATAATTTTTCTCTGTCTTTCTATATATATAAATACATACAGCATGTATTTATGCATACCTATACCATTATATGCATATATGTGTGTTTATCTATACGTCTATCTATACAAGGGTGCATTCAGGTTAGAATATGATGTCTAAAATATTGTTGGTTTCCTGCTTCTCTTCTACTGTTTCTAGGCTCAGCCTGCCAAGACGATGACAGTCACTTATTCCAGCAAAGTAGCAAATGCCACTTTCTTTGGATTTCACAGATTACTCCTAAAGTGGAAAGGCAGCATCTACAAATTGCTGTACAGAGAATTTATTGTTTTTGCTACTCTTTACACAGCGATAAGTGTATTATACAGGTACACTCTTTCCAATTCACATCTCATTAAATGTTATACTGAAGTTTCATACTTCATAGTGTTAGGCTGATGAACGATGGGGGGAGGTTATAACATAGTTATTGTCTTTTCCTTTGACCTTTTCTAACATGCTCTCCTTTCCATGTTTACTTTAATGTTCCAGAGAAAGCATGTAGGATATAAATAAAATACTTTCTATCATATTCAGCTGATTCTACTTTCAGCCCACTGTTGAGCAACCATCCTACTGAAGTTAGGCTAAATAAACACCCATGGCTAGCCTATGTTATATAGCTTTTATCATTCTGACGTTGAGCTGGCAGCAGTGAGCGTGCCTCTCTGCTTTGGATGACAAGTATAGACTTTTTACTCTAATTGCAGAACTGTGTCTTCAGTTGCTCAGTGGTAATTTCTTTAACAACCCTGAAAAGTAGTAATTTGAGAGCCAGGTTATGTAGTCAGGAGAAGAAAAGTTTTGCTTAACGCTAGGGTGACATGCAAACTTTATTTCTAAGCTTGCAGAAGGCCAAGCAAGATTTCATGGAAACCAGAGATTGTTAGCTCTGTGTCACCCAGCACCTGGGAGGGTCACATTAGGATAGGTGCTTCTTCCACCAAGGTGTGAATTAAACACCTGTATGACAGACGCAGTTCCATCAATTAGTGAAGTGAAACTTTTAATTGATGAAGTACAGCACACAGAAGTATAAAAATCATGATTCAGCTCTTGCCTTGATCTCTAATTAGACCTCAGCATTTGCTCAAGCAAAGTGAAACAAGGAGAAAATGAGCTTCAGTTTGTCTGTGATTAATCACTAATTTTGCAAAGTGTTCTATACCTGTAAACTCAGCATTAATATGTAAAGAAACACAGGAGTCTCAAATGTATTAAAATTTATCTAGTTTTACTGAAAATTGGCAATTAAAGACCATGGTAAATACACCATCAAAAGCTTTCTATATGCGCTCCAGGTTCTATTGCACAATTGTAAGCAAAACCTAAGAAATATTTGTCATGTGTTCCTTTTATACAAAATCAAAGAATAAGTGTAATACTAATCTGTACAAATTAAAACAAATGTTATATTTAGGCTTGTTGTATTTCATTTGATATCGTTTTTCCCATGGGCAGAAGCTGCCATACTCCACTCATTATCTATCATTTGGTGAATATTGTCCTCACTGAAAAATAAATACAGTAGTTGTGTTTTTAATCTTGTGCAAGAGAAATACTTAGTAGGAGTAAGAATAAAAAAACTACTGCAAAAGCATAACATTTCCAAATAAGAGCAGTTGGAGATTAGTAACCTTTTGCAATTCAACCAGACCTGACCATTTTTAGTAAGTAGCCCTCTGGAAAAGGAGGGTAAGCTCTACTTTACAGACTTACAAACTTGCTATTATCCTTGGTTGCTTTGAGACAGCAAACTAATTATCCAGGCGTAGTGATCCTAATTAGTCAAATTAACCATGAAAAAACGGCAAAAAAACCCAGGGAATAATACTGTCTTCAGCTTCTGTATTACATGCCAAAAGTGGTAAGGACTTTACCTTTAAGAATTCACTTGAAGACACTAGCCAAGGTTGCTCCTGATTGCACATACCTGATTATTTATACCTATTTGCACTTTGTAGCTAGTTCCAGAATATTATGAAAGGACAGATACATTTTATTCTTGCTGCAGATTTTTTCTTACAGGTAGCCAAAAACGGTTCTTTGAAAAGTTATCAATTTACTGTGACAAATATGCTGAACAAATCCCGGTAACTTTTGTGCTTGGTAAGTACCGGTTACATGTGAAATCAATCTCCAGCGCTGTCTCTGTTCAGGCATTTTGTGAATGTCTGTGAATTGAAGCATTTCAGAGCTGAGGGGCCAATGGGAGGTTAGAGGTTCACAATGAAATCATCAGCTTCAAGCAGATCTCCTTAAATTCAAGTTGCTTTTGTCACATCAAAATTTATACTCATGTTCAAATTATACCAATAAAAGAGTAGTTTCCCCTTACATATATATATACAACTATATTTAGTGCCCACTAACACTGATACATTGTGCTCAATCTTTTAAATCACTAAATCCACTCAAGGTTTACTCAGAAGAGGAAATTTGGAAGTTAATGAGTATGAGAATCTCAGCTGGAATGTGCCATTAAGTTGCAGTGTCTATTAAATAATGAGCGTTGATTGCATCATGGGTTTTGACGTGATATACTGCATTTATTCTGGGAAATGTAGCAGCTTAGTGATATGAATAACACTCTGCAAACCAAATCAAAGTGACCTAAACAGAAATCCTGACAGGCACTGCACTTTTTTTTCCCTTCTAACTCCCAGGTTTCTACGTTACTTTGGTGGTGAATCGCTGGTGGAACCAGTTTGTGAACTTGCCATGGCCAGATCGTCTGATGTTCCTCATCTCTAGCTGTGTCCAGGGCAGAGATGAATATGGGCGCTTGTTAAGGAGGACTCTCATGCGTTATGTGAATTTAACATCTCTGCTGATCTTTCGCTCCGTGAGCACAGCCGTGTACAAAAGGTTCCCTACCGTGGACCACGTGGTTGGAGCAGGTACTGGAGTCCTTCTTCCCTGGATTTCTTTCCTTTACTTCAGAGGTGGGGGCACAAGTAGGGAAGGAGGCAGACTCATTTTTTCTTTCCTGTTTGGCCCCATGTGCGCCTCATACTAACTCACGTCTTTTATAATTGGACTAATGGATCCATAGAATCACGGAATGGTTTGGGTTGGAAGGGACCTTAAAGATCATCTTGTTCCAACCCCCTGCCGTGGGCAGGGACACCTTCCACTAGACCAGCTTGCTCAAAGCCCCATCCAACTTTGCCTTGAATACTTCAAGGTCTTAAAGGTCTTTAAGATCTAGTGATCTTAAAGGTCTTTTCCAACCTATGGTTCTATGTCAAAGCGACTACATTCTTGTCAGTGTATTAAATGATATGCCCTTAAGTGTGTGGCTTTAATGCTCTTAAAGTCTTCATCTAGTGACACTCTAGAAATCAAATGAGTTGAAGACTTTTGTGTGGATGTTTTCTGACATTATGGAGGCAATAGGCCTGCCTCAAACACACAGATACATGGAGCATGTACAACCTTCTCCAAAACATGAAAAATAATGTAGCTGCAATGCATTATGGTGCAGTAGGAAAGGTGACTTGACACATGGCATTGCCTCAATGCATAGGGTACAACTTGTCTTGTGTATCAGAGACTGATCTCTATAGGCGCTTCACAAGTACAGCTTTATCTCTATTTATTTTAAGTAGATTGCACTTTAAGTAGATTTCACATTTTAAGTATTACTTAAAAGAAAAAAAAAAAAATCCAAAATAACCCTGAGGGCTTTTTCTTTATATTTAAAATATCACTTTAAATACAGTTTTTCAGGGGTAAATATGCTAAGTATTAAGCCTGTCTTTATTTTCTATTTGTTTTGATAACATGGTAAGTGTGATGCTGGGAAAGAGAGTAAGACTGCTTGCCTGTGAAAGTCTGACTGCTGAGTATTTAAAGGCAAGGTGTGATGCCGTGCCTTCTGATTCACGTGGTCAGTGTCAGGGATAGAATGCCAGTGCAGAGATATTGAGATATATTCTAAATAGGAGAAGTCATACATTTTTACTGTCTTGCATTTCTTACTTAAAATTATTCGTTTGGCAGAGATTAGTAAGCAAAGTTGTACCAAGTTAAAATATGCAGTGTATATATACATATCCACATTTGACATATGTGCGAGAAGCTTTGGGTATTAACAAAAATGCAGGCAGAATGCACTGATCTTACTGGGGAAAAAAAAATGAGTCTTTTATTATCCAAAATTTATGTTGGATTCAGTTGGATTTTGAAGTTCTCTTCCTTGTGCTCTTCAACAAAGCTGTTTACCTGGGCCTGGGAAAGGTCAGGGAAGCTTCTGTCACTCTCCCCAGCACTCTGCTTCTAGTACACACTGGAAAATTACAACATTTCCAGCAGGCTAATCCAGCTCTGCCTCCCTATTGCTAAAGACAATCTGTTCCAAAAGAGACAAAATGTCGCACTGTTGTACAAGAATTGTAGACTGGAAAGCAAGTTTTTGTAGTTGGGGTTTCTTATGAACAATGGAAAATATTCTATAAATGGTATAAATAAGTACTGATAATGTAGTCAGCTCCTTGGATTTCAGTGCTTGTTCTGTATTTTTAATACATTTTGTGCCACATATTTTTTGTTGATGCAGTACTGAGTATTTAAGGGTATATTTTGCTTCATTAACATCCAGGGATTAAGACAATACCCTGCAATTATCCCCTCCCTAGCTCCCTGTGGCATTACATGTGAGACTGCATGGGAGTGCAGCATTTAGTATGAACATGAGCAGCAGAATCTGTCATCATTGCAACAACTTGTTCAGGTTTTGCATTTCCCTATGAAACAGAACTGCCACAGTGTAACGATTGCTGCACATTCCTCTCCTCAGTAAGTGAACTGCTTAAATGCATGGATTTTAAATCTGAGAACAGTACTATGATAATGGAGTCTGACTCATCCATAACACAAGGCATAAACACTTACTAGCAACATCCTTTGTCATGTTCCAGTTTCTGAGTGAGCTATAATACCTTCTAGGAATACGACCAGCCCTGATCTAAAATTCAGCTGGGTATACTGGAGACAACACTGCATCCTAGGTGAACTGACATTCACAGCGGTGAGCTCCCTGCTGAAAAGTGGGATTTTACTCCAGTCTGAACTTGCACAGGGTCATCTTCTAAGCACCAGATTCTGGAATGGGTTTGGGTTGTTATTTTTTTAATTAGGTTAAAACATCATTTTTGTCTCAATCGCTACCTGTTAACAGAATGCATAGAGGATTGAATAAACTTAGGAACTTCACCATCTATAGTCTCTCCCTACAAAACACTGAAGACAGAATCTTCTAAGTCTTTTGTTAGCATTCTTTATGGAGCTGTAGGCAGTAGATGCATGTGGATTCATGACTTTATGATGCTGAGTGCTGCAGCACGTATGCCATAAGCGTCAAATGCCTAGCAGCAGTTCTAAGCATACCAATACTGTTGGCTGCTAAGTACGAGAGGGAAGTTGGATGCCCAAAAGCGCAAGTCTTAAAAAACATGAGTAATGAGTCAGCAGATGAGCAGAGCAGCCTAAAACAGCTGCTAGGAAATGCCAAAGAGAAACATGAGGTGTGAGCTCAGTAACACGAATACCTACAAAGGGCTGAAGTCTGGTGTTTCAAACCCTCTGTTGGAAGGAAGTACCTAAATTAACTCTTTCTCACATACCACATAAGCAGGTAGTTAAACTTTTATATACTTGTTGCAGTGACAGCACATGTTTGTATTGCCATAACTTACTCTGCTTTTCATGAGGCTCCACCTGGAGTACTGTGCAGTTCTGGTGTCCTCAACATGAGAAGCCGTGGAAACAAGTCCAGAGGAGGGCCACGAGGATGATCAGGGGCTAAAGCACCTCCCATATGAAGCCAGGCTGAGAGAGAGAAGGCTGTGTGGAGACCTCGTAGCAGCCTTCCAGTATCTGAAGGGGGGCTTATAAGGATGCTGGGGAGGGACTCTTCATTAGGGACTGTAGTGATAGGACAAGGGGTAACGGGTTCAAACCTAAACAGGGGAAGTTTAGATTGGATACAAGGAAGAAGTTCTTCACTGTAAGGGTGGTGAGGCACTGGAATGGGTTGCCCAGGGAGGTTGTGAATGCTTCATCCCTGGCAGTGCTCAAGGCCAGGGTGGACAGAGCCTTGGGTAGCACGGTTTAGTGTGAGGTGTCCTTGCCCATGGCAGGGAGGTTGGAACTTGATATCTTAAGGTCCTTTCAAACCCTAACTATTCTATGATTCTAAGAACAAGGCTTTGTTGAACTTTTCTGAACAAAAAGATACCCAGTTAACAGTGGAGAGCTGAACTGATCCTTGTACCTTCGCTGTTCTTCAGGCTGTGTCCTTCCAAATGATGACTTCCCAGAGCCTCTGAAGTGACTTGCATCCAGTGTTTACTCCAGACTGTCAATTTTCCGATATTCTGTCTGTCTCTTTCAGTATGATAGAAAGGCAACCTGAAAAACTGTCTTTTAGGAGTCATGACTAGCAGGTCTATTTGTCTGATTGCCTGATCATTTGTGCACTTGATTATGAGAGCTGGCTGCAAACTTACCAGGGATCTTTCTCAAATTCCATGATACTGCAGGAGTACTGTGTCTTGTTGCTGAACTTTTATTCTTCCATGGAATTTTCTGTCCTGTCCTTGTGCTCCTTCTCAGTAGTAGCAGTATTTCACACCTCCTGTGTTGACTTGTTGCAACTGTAAACAGTGGCATTTTTCTCAACAGCAGAATACCTATGAAGGTTGCTGTGTTTCACAAATCTCCTTTTACCTTATTCACATTTTTATACAAACCAACTGGGTTTCTGTATTTTTTCTCTGCTTCATGTATCTTTAGCAATGTCAGCAACAATGAGACAGTTTAGCAATTGTTAGCAACAATTCTTAGTTACGAGTTGGAGACAAGAAAAAAATCCTGTCTACTCTCAACTCCCCTACTGAATTTTCAGCACTCAGACTTGTAATTGATTGGCTGAGCCACTTATTTTGAGGCTGATATTTTACTAACTTTGTCCTGTTTTGGAGCTGATGTCAACGAAACAGAAGCAGCCTTATACGCACCTGGGGAGGTGACACACACCTGAGCAAAAAAGCTAAGATTCTTCAAACCTGAAGATTACTCCGGTCACAGAAAATACAGGATTTGGACATAAGAAAATGTGAATGCACCCTTATGAATTTTCTGAGCCTGTTTTTTCTCACAGGCTGGCTGGAAGGAGAACAGCAATGCAGAGCTTTCTTACCCAAGAGGGTAGAGGTAGAGCTGCTCCCCTGCCAGTCCCAGGCAGCAGCAACCTGCTCTGATGCAGGTGCTGTCCTTCACAGCCCTGGCTCCCCTGCCCTCTGACCTTGGGCTTGCTTGCAGCAGGGGAAGCAGGACTTCACAAGGCCAGGGGAACTCTTCAGGAAACATAATACCTTCCCAGCACCCCAGCGAGGCAAACTGCCAGGCAGAGAGCAGCTTCAGCCGGCAGCCTCACAGCATGTCATCTGGCCCGGTGTCCCACTAGCAGCAGGATTTCTGTGCATGGCTCCCTTTCCCTCTCTTTGCACGCCTTCATAACCCCAAAGAAAACATGAAACACAATCTGGCAGGGAAGTGTTTTGCTGGCAGAAGACTCAGTCTCTGTAGAGCTCTGTTTCATGCATGTGCTTGTATCCTTTGCTGCTTGCTCACTGCTTTGCAGATTTACCAAACAATCATCAGAATCTGGTCAGCTAAGTGCCCTTACAGCATACGTGGAGATGCTGTCTAAAGACATCATTGCTGAAAAGTAACAGGTAATTATTGCAAAAGAAGTTGTTTCAGGCAAGATCTACCCTAGCAAAAACCTCAAAAAAAGAAAAAAAGGAAGAGACCCCTTAGTCAGAATTATAAATAGCATTTAAGATAGTTCTGTGCAAATATCACATAAAGAGACTCAAACATATTAAAAATTTAGACAATCAGTAGCACTGAAAGCACAGAATAAATGAAGTCTTTGGTTTTGTTTTTTGTTGGCTAAACAGGCTTTATGACAAAATATGAAAGAAAAATCTTTGATGACCTGAAGTCTCCCCACCTGAAATACTGGGTTCCATTTGTCTGGTTTGGGAATTTGGCCTCAAAGGCAAGAAAAGAGGGGAGAATTCGAGACAGTGTAGATCTGCAGACACTGTTGAATGTAAGTAGCAAAAGTAAATCTACAGAAAGCTGATCTGAAATTGCTATGCGGTAGCTTTTCACTTCCATAATTTGGTTTACTGTGCACAGCTCTCCAGTGTCGTCTAAGCGACCTTACTCAGGATTGATACCGCTTGTCTCTGTGTACCTATGTACTCTCAAGCGCACACAGCAGCAGTTTGCTGGGATTGTATTTATATGACTAAGAAGTTATTAACTAAAGCACCAAACTAATGAGTAAAAATTTATTGTAACATCACTGTGGATTCATACTTGTTCCATTGCTGCAGGGTAAAAAAAAAAAAAAGAAAAGAAAAAGAGAGTAATGTGACATTTGGAATATTTTAATATCAATTGCAGGAAGACAATCTCCCTGAATATTTCATTAAGTGGTCAGACATCCTTTTTATTATATAATATATTCTCTTTCATGTATCACTTGACTGTAGATAAGATAGAAATGAAAGATAATTTGTTAAGAAACCCATAATATACTAAGCATTCCAACTCCATAAGCCAAATGTGACAGTGGGGTGCTGGATATAATTATGGTAAAAATTCCTATATACCAAACTTTTGTATCTCCCTGTCCTTTCATATGTGCAAAAATGACTTGTAACAAAATATTTATAATTTAGGATTGAACCCCACGCTATTTTAGTTTCTTGTGGGCTACTTTTTCTTTTATTCTTTGTTTCTTTTTTTCCTTTTAGGAGATGAATAAGTACCGGTCTTGGTGTAGTCTTTTGTTTGGTTATGACTGGGTTGGAATCCCACTGGTCTATACTCAGGTACTGAGCTCTAACCCTTTACAAAATTCCAAACACCATCTCTATAAAAGGGGAGTTTGATGAAAAATATCCATAGACTCAACCAGATTCTCGGAGCTGTTGAGCACTCCTTGACTCCCACAGGATCACAAAGGCCTGTCTGGCTTTTAAGTCATATTTAACAGTCACATTTAATGCAGAGATGTTTTGAAGACCTTTCATAAGCTGGGAGAGAGGAGGGAAGCACTGAAAGGTTTTTATGCTTCCTGGGTCTTCTCCCTGGCCATAATTATTTCTGTGACCCCTCTATTCGTAATACATTCCTACAGATTTGTAAATTATATGTCAAAAGGCAGTCAGAAGCCTTTGCGTATGTGTTGCTTTATGCATAATATGGCATCATTACATGATTTCAATGAAGTTTTATTCTTTGCAGGTTGTCACTCTCGCAGTCTATACTTTTTTCTTTGCCTGCCTGATAGGGCGCCAATTTTTGGATACTGACCAAGGGTATCAGGGGCATGACTTAGATCTTTACATTCCAATCTTCACACTGTTACAGTTCTTCTTCTACGCAGGATGGCTCAAGGTAAACTAGCTTTATGGAAAGGTCATGGGCTGAAAGGGACTGAATCATGCTTTCTTTTGATCAAAGCCAGCCTTTAGTATCTGCTGTTAACTTAATCAGATGCAAGCAATTAAAGGTCTCCAGTTCCAGAGGGCTATCAAACCGTAGCAGCCGATATTGGCTACAACCCTACCGCATAAAAATGTTCACTATAAAGAAGAGTTATAGATAGAATTGTATGCTACCCATTGATGTCTGCTCAGTTAACATATCACCATCGATCTCATAGTTGAGTAATTAAGGCATACCTCATGGCAGTTCTTGCTTCTGCAGTGACTATCAAGGTAGAAAGGAGAAAAGTTTCAAATAAAAAGCAAATTGATACATTAGGGTCTATGTGCATTGAGATTTCCTTTTGGGATTATTAATCATGGCTGGAAACTTAGAGCTAATTTTTCTGTTAGAATATAAATTGAGCAAAATTGGCTAATTTTATAGCCCCCTTTCCAACTTCAAAGGGAAGAGTAGAGAAAGCACACCAAGCTGTCAATTGCAGGGAAAAGTAAAGTGTCTGCAGAGCAAGCTCCTCTAGTCCTGTGTCCTAGGAACTCATGGGGAAAGGGGTGTGCCACACAGGGACCAGCCTTGAGGGGAGCATGAGAGAGGAAGGGAGGCTGGTGTGGTGGGGAAAGCACATTGCTCTAGGCAGTGTTGTCCAGGGATCTACTGATTACAAAACTCTTAAGCTGTTCCTCTTGACCATCCCACTGGTGCTTCTGAAGGATGAATGGATTCCCCTTCATCAGCACCCAAGGCTGTTCGTAGCATCTATTCAAGGTTGGCTCAGGGCTACCAGCCAAATCCTGGCTATAGCAGGTATGAGATGCCATTGTAACTGAAGAACCTTCTGCATAAGGAAATGAAAGGGAGGAGAAGCAGTTTTTAAAAGCAGATTTAATACCGTCAGTGCTCCCTTGGACCGGAGGTTCGCTGAAACCTGCAGAGGCCCTGAGTCAGGATATTTCTGTCTTGAAGGTTACAGCCAGGTTCCTGCTGAGTGTGTTGAGCTTTGGCTGCCAGGCTGCAGAAAGAGCCCCAAGCTATTGACTTCCAGTAACTTTGCAATTTCTCGGAAGTTATGGCTAAAATGAGCTCTTGCCTTGGCCTCAGGCCTGGTTTGTTATACCTGCAATACAGGGGTAAAGTTTCCCATACACTCCATTATCATTACAGGTATAGATAGGCTGTCCGAATACAGGGCTTAGCTGTCCAGCACTGCGCTCCTTTCCAGCAAGTAAAGTTGTGTCTCACATGCTGGGACCAGCTCAGCCAAACAAAAGGCCATCAATGCTGTTCCCTCTGTCCCAGCCCTGCTTACTTCTTTTAGCTCATGTGACAGGTTTTGCAGTGGATTTTTGGGTGGTGATTCCCTGCAAAAGCAGCATGTGTTCTAGGTCATTCTTACCGCATTACTTCCATAGCTATACCCAAAATTTAATGCCGTGGGGCAGGCCAATAGTGTGACCAGAGGTGTCCCCTGTCTTATTTTCATTCCTCCTGATTTTGGGGTGTTTCTGTTGTGTTAGTCTGCTTGGCACTTCATTTGATGTCTTCCACTGCTGGCCTGGGAAGTTGTGACCTAGGAGAGTTAGCAGGTGCTTACCCACTAGTACAACATAGAAGCACATGGGAATAAATAGGCAGGGAGTGACTCCCTTACTATTATAAGTTATTGAGATCATAGTCATCCATTGTGAGGCTCATGAGCAGGGCTGTTTAATCATACAGTTGATTTACCCGTACCCAAGTTAAACTGAGGACTTGGCCACTGCTCCAGTGCCTGGCCCTGGTGGCCATCAAGAAGGCTTGGGAGGGTCAGCAAGGATGTGATTGGCTTCAAAACTGAGCCTTAAAAAGACAAACAGAAGGAGAAGAGGACGAAGGGGAGAGGATATTTAACCTCAGTGTACCAAGGAACTGAGAAATAGAGAAGCAGTCTGAACTTCGTAGATCTTTTTCAGTTTTTCCTACATCATCTTCTTTTTTTTCTCCCCCAGCTATAAGTTTTCTCCCCACAATATACTTTGGTGATCATAGAGTGGGAGGCAGTGTCTGTTGTTTTTCCATATATTTAATCCTTGTGGGGTGAGGGGGACAGGACAGGATAAGGCTATGGGCAGACAGACAGGTTTCCTTTCTCATCCTAGTTCCCAGACTAGAGACTAGAGCACCTCACCACAAAGGTGCTGAAGCTCACTGTTTGGTAGTGCCTTCCACAGGATGGGCTTCTCCTCTGCAGTTTTAATCACTTCAAGTGCAGAAACACAAAACAGGAAGTTGAATCAAAGAACAAGCTCAGATTCTCTGTTGCCTTTACCTAGCATGATGCACAGCATTCACTTGAGTCAAGTCTTCTGGTGGGCTGCTGCTTTTCCTGGAAAGCTTCGGAGGTATGCCATCAGCATCACCCCTGATAAAGAAGCAGGGGCTGAGGACTGAGCTGGAGACACAAGCTGTGGTCCTTCCAGCAGATTCCAGCTGCAGGGCTCAGGAATACTGACCGAATGGGCTGGTGGAGTATTGTATACCATAATGCAATAACAGAGCCTCTAGCTGCCAAGACATTCATTTAAATCATCCAAAGTCAACAGTAAGAAGAGGTAATGACTATCTTATGTGACAATTGCATGGCCCAGACATGTCTAAATTCCCAGCAGGCCAGCACTGACAGTTATGATTGACAGCACCAACGAGACATAGAGGTATGAATCTATAGGGAAAGCAAGCTGTTCCTTCACTAGGCTAGCAAAACCATCATGTGGGAGCTCAAGATATGATTGGAAGTGACAGGCAGGGAGAGAGAAAAATCCAATCTTATTTTCTCTGTGGCAGCAGTCCTGACATGGCATGCCAACCTCTATTCACTGTCTCATTTCCCTTTCAGGTTGCTGAACAACTTATTAATCCGTTTGGAGAAGACGATGATGATTTTGAAACTAACTGGTGCATCGATAGGAATTTACAGGTTGCTGTTGTTATTTCTACTTCCAGCTTTACTGTACTATAGGTTATCATTACATTTAATCCTATTCCTTATACTGAGGCACAAACTAAGGACAAGTGTCAGCATAACAAATTCTTTCCCTGAAGGAGTACCTATGGCTGTGATCCACAGATTTTGTTTTGACAAGTTAATGCATCTTGATTTTAGTATTTGGCATGATGTATTTATGATGCCTGACTAGACAAGCAAACAGCTGACCTCAAACTATAAGCTCACTTTATGCCTGGAAAAACATGTAATGTAGGTCAATCCTGCAAATCCAAAAGCCATCTACTCCCACATAGATAAGGACACATTTTGCTAATCTGTATGCCTAGAGATTACAATATTGTATATGAAACTGCCTTTTAAAAAATGGCAGTGAAGATACCAAAAAGACCAAGCAGGGCCATTAACTAATAAGCAGGGCTCATACCATGATTTATGTTGTGACAGCAGCATCTGTAGTGGGCACAGAAGCCAACATCTTCAGTGGCAGGATATGTGAGATTGCCAGGGTACAGATTTACTGCAGCTACCCCCGATTTTCAAACAGCTCCTGTCATCAGCCCCTGTATGTCTGAATGAGCCCAAAGACAGGAAGAGTGGGATATGCTGCTCCCCTTGCAGGTAGAGTCAAGCATAGGTTTGAGCTACTGTTGGACCCCACGTCTGCTGGGGACCACTAAGACTGCAGAGCAGAGCCCAGGTGTTAGGGGAAGTAAGGGCAGGGCAACTAAACCAGCGTATTAAGCAAAACAAGCAATGCAGGTATGGAGAGGAGTGGGAAAGGCCTTCACGCTGCCAGAGATGCTCTCCAGCTTAACACTGCTTCAGGCTACTTGTACTATAGTGCCTCAGAGCCCTTTGTGTAAAATGTATTGAAATGTCCTAGAACAGGATGGCCACGTGCTTGGTTCTGAATGTCTTAAATGTGGGCAAAGCCTATCGGAAAGCTTCTCTACTTCTGGGCATTTTAAGGAGCACAGATTTCCCACAGCATGCAGAGGATCACATGTCCATTTATCTACATCATGCATGAGGACTTCAATCTGACACAAATATCTTTGCAGCACAGAAGACTCAAGTTACAACAACACTTACACTTTCAGTATAGGAGGATATAGGGGGTATATTTTTTAATACCGAGTCTCTTCCCAGTATGCAGGCCAGTACACAGAGATTACTTTCAGGTGTTTCTGAAAGAAATGTTGACCCCGGGAGTGCAGAGCAGATTATGTCCTATACTGTACTGTGCTGAAACTGACATGATTTATACCAAAAAAATCTAAGGTCTCACTTCTGGCAGTGGATGAGATGCACATGAACTTACCAAGGATGGAGAAAGATATTTACTGGAACGACTCCTCTGCCCGGCCACCTTACACAAAAGCAGCTGCTGATTACTGTATCCCTTCATTTCTTGGATCAACTATTGAAATGGGGTGAGTGGCACTAAGGGTTCTTAATGCCATCAGAAATATCACCCCCCCTACAGCCCATGTTGATTGATGGACAGCAGGGCTGCAGGCTGTGACAATACCTTGAGCAAGGAAGGTGGAAATGATGTTAGGAGGGAGTGGACAGGCTGGTGTTGAGGGGGTAATGTCTCCAGTGGTCCATGTGCTCATAGGAGTTGGGCATCCATGGCTTAAATTGTGTAATTACTAAATAGAGTATGTTTGCAGGGAGGGTTTGTTGAGAGTCCCTGAGCACAGGATGGAACCTGAAGACAGCAACTGACTTTTCTTAATAATTATTTACTACACCTTCTTCATACATCCCCCAGTTAACAAAATAGCTATTCCTGTGCTTGTTTAGGTAGCAGATGATGGCTGAAATCGGTCCAGATTTTTGTGAAGATAAACAACAAATTATTGTAAGTGCACGACTTTTTATTGACTAATAATTTAGACATGGAAGTTGGAGCAGCCAGATTTGGTGAAGGAATAGAGTTATTTGTAGAGACTGGCGCAAGAACCATTGTTATATTTTGTGAAGGAATAGAGTTATTTGTAGAGACTGGTGCAAGAACCATTGTTATAAAGAAACATACAGACAAGAGAGGACTGCCTGGTGCTGTCAGAATCTATATGAGAAATCAGTGATAGGCTAGTTAGCTTAGAAGCTGTTGAGTTTAAAATCTTGTGACATACTGTAATACAGAACAGGTCAGTAGGTGCAAATACCACCAATACGAATAAAAGGGCAAGTAGATGTTTTAATCTGAAAATCTTTTAAAAACTTTATAATAGCCATTTGTTAACTTTAAAACTTATTTCAAGAAGTTTTCCATTTCTCCAAAATTTTCCAGCCTTTCTCAAAATTAAATCTGCTTAATTTTTGCTTTAAAAAGGTAAAGAAGAAAAACTCATAGAATGTAATTTATTTTAGTGCAATTGCAAGAGGAGAAAAGGTGGCAGAGAAGAAACATTATTAAGTCTGCAAACACTTTTTTAATAAGAAGCACTTCACACAAAAAAAGAATGAAAAATGGCTCCATGTTAGCCCCTGTGAAATGCAAACAGCTCTGATGTGTTGACTTTCTTACCAATTATTTTCTCCTCTGAACTGTTTCTCTGTTCATCTCTCTAAAACAAGTTGGTAGTTCTTATGCACAGTTCAAAAAACTGGTCTAAAGATTCATCCAAGTTCAAAGGACATAAATAAAACTTGAGCCAAAGTCTTTTCCAGCCCCCTCAAGCCAACATCTGGCACAGGGTGCCCAGAGAAGCTGTGGGTGCCCCATCCCTGGCAGTGTTCAAGGCCAAGTTGGACACAGGGGCTTGGAGCAACCTGCTCTAGTGGAATGTGTCCCTGCCTGTGGCAGGGGGTTTGGAACTGACCTTTATAGGTCCCTTCCGACCCAAACACTTCCATGACTCTAAGAACTTCATAAATGCTGTACGAAGTTCCTCTGTCCCTCTGGGTTGGTGTTGCCTCCCTGTTCTCCTTGCCTCAGGTCTGGCCTGAGCCCCTTTGCCATCTGCACAGGTAGCTGTGACAGTTTGACTTGTCCTCTGGGGCACACTGGGTCAGTAATGTGTACTGAATTGCCTGGCAGATGCAGCAATAGTTGTTCTCAAGAACCATGGAGGCTGAGCAGGAGAAGAGTACCAGGTACAGGCGGGACTTTCAGACACATTGTCATGCCCCAGAAGTAAGTGGGATTTGGCCGTCTGAGTAATTCCAGCATCTTTTGAAACCATCACACTGTTGCTTCCAGGAGCAGCCTTTTCACTGTTGTTATTTTTGCCTGAAGGATTCTCCTGAAAATTATCTACAGCACCAAGCAGGGTTCCTTTTTCCCCTCTCCCTCATGTTATTCACGAGCCTAACCATGCGGAGCTGCCACAGAGGGCTGCAGCTCAAATATGAAGTAGTGCCAGATGCCCAGTTGGATGCCCTCCCAGCCTCATCCTCAGGAGAATAGACACTTGGATGTGGAGAGCTTTCCATGTGATCTGGCTCTTCTAAAGGCAGGGGCACTATTTCCTGACACCCTCACCCCTTTCATGCCCTTCCTTGGGACACACTAGGGCCTTGGTTCCTACGTCTTCCTGCTGAGACAGAGGGATGTATGTGCATGCAGACCATGTACAATTTCTATATATAAGCGACACCTACTAACCAGATTTATTTGGCAGGCTGGCTGACACTGAATTCCTCTATGGGGAAGAGTGGCCCTGGGAAGAGGAGAAACACCGAAGGCAACGTTCAGTGCTGAGAAGAGTCAAGAGGTTCCTCAGCGTCCACGAGGGCCCTTCACCTCCACCTCAGCGGCGCTACAGTCGGCAGACAAGCGAGAACTCGGTGTTCTTCCCGGCAGATGAAAAGGGGCACATCAGGCGCCTGCAGGAAATGCACACAAGGGGGAGATACTCCACCTCGAGCTTCAAGAAGAAACACGAAGGACTTGACAGAAATAACAGACTTCACAGTAGCCGAGACCTAGGACCCATAACTGAAACCTCAAGGAATGAGGCACCGTTTGGCGACAGCGATACCTCATCTGAGACAAACAAACCAGTTCCTGAGGTCATCATCTCTGAAGCTGAGGAGGAAGCACTTGATGTGCTGGGCAAACCAGATCCGCCAACACAGCGCAACGCAAGCATGCCAGAAGAGAAGCTCCAAAGGAGCCTAACTGAGACAAACGTGAGTCTTCTGGACGATCCTTTTTTCCCCCCAGAAGTCACTACATACTTCCCAGGCTCTGAGGTGCATCAGTCACTTCCTACTGTGATAGGGGAGCCCAAACATGAACCCTATGTTGGTAACTTAGCCGGTTTCGTAACAGATCAGGAGAGAAACATTCAGCGATGGAGTTTACCGAGCTTCCATAGTCAAAATGCAACGTCAAATCCTGACACTGCTCCACCTTTAACAGATTCTGATACATCTTCACAACAAAGGACCCCCAGTGATGGAAAAAATGTTAGTGCTGCTGCTGCTCCAGAGACGTTTGAGATGCAGCACTTCTGGGAAAACCTGGATAGTAAAGAAACAGCCATAGTGGAATTTTCTAATGAGAAGAGTGAAAGAAAACTTTGACCATGCTTGCTCTGGGTTTGACTGAACTTCTCGTCCTCTCTCACAAGTGGTTCTTACACGGGTTTGTTGAAAGTGTGAAGGGCAGAACACAACATTCAGATAAAACCTAAGCAAGAGGAATTGGGCACCTAAAGAGAATGCACTATGGTGACATGCTTTAAGCCACTTGGTTGAAATCTGTGACCCTGTAGGTAAAACTGTAGGGGGCCTCAGGAATGATCACAAGCTAGCTAGCGCACATGGCAGCGAGCTGTGCAGGCTCACCCACTGAGTTTATCAGGAAAGCAGGGGTGGCTCTTCTGTCCACTTTGGATCCACACTGAACAATGCGACCTTTGGCCACTCCTTCAGATTAGGGTCCATGACATCTCTGTAAGACCTACCAACAGTTTTGGTTTCCACTCAAGTGGCTAGAAGGGGAGGTGTGGGCTCAATTCCCTACTCAGCCTGGAGAGATTCAGCCCACCATCTCTGTCTGCAGGAATGTCTGAAAAATCAGTCTCCCCACGTGTGTGGGGCAAAAGCCCACCCTCTCCTACTGAAGCTGTGCCACTGTAGAGTGGGAAAATAAAAGGATTAGATGTTTAACTTCAGTAAGAAAAATGGAAGAGGCAAAACTGCTGATGAGCTGGGGATGGGGTCTGAGCCTTGACCTCTGCTCCTTAGAGCATGTGTATGTTGTACCTAGTGGCTATTTATTGTAATATGCTGCTCCCAGGTGACCTCCCTGGTGATGCCAGGACTGTGGCTCTCTCTCAAGAGGTGATGGAGCTGCAGGAGCAACTGAGCTTAGGGCTCCATTCTTGCAGAGATCCTCAGTTGGAAGGCTTCAGATATCCCAAGCAGACAAGTAAATGGCCCAGGACATCTAGCAAAACTTGGTCTCTGCTTCCTTCCCCCCCACCCCGGGTCTGCTCCCACACTGCCCAGATGTGTCACACACATCCTCCATTAACTCAAACCTGAGCCAGCATTAGGTGGCTCCTGCTGCTCCAGGGGCAGCTAAGCCACCTCCCTGAACCTCCTGGTAGCAACCTGGCCTTTCAGCTGCCACTTCTACACGAAGTCTCAAAGCAGGCCCTGAAAGCAGCGGTAGCTCTTCAGTTTCAGCTCTCATTCACATCTATACAAACTCAGTCTGGAGCGTGAGGCCAGCATTCCCCCACGAGCAAGTGCCCAAATAGATGATCTCATTAGACAAGGGAGAGGCCAGGTAGCTCAGCAGCTGGGAGGAACAGAGGGAGGGGAGATAAGGGAATGATGCGGCTGCAGCAGCCAGCAAGTGGCATGGGCTGTGTGGATGGCCTGTCCACCCAGCAGTCTTGCTCAGAAAGTTGCACTTCAGCCAACAAACCAGGGTCTCTATCAGGGTAACTGGTAGCACCAGTGGCTCCTGAGAGTACTCAGGACCCCCTGAAGCTGGGAAAGAAATGAACAGATTTGCTTGTTCCTGCTCCTATGGCCAATTGCTTAAGTGAGGAACCCTTCCAGTAAGGCTGTCACATAGCACACAACTCTGCTATTCCATCTGGGTAGGCTTGGGAGGGGAAAAAAGATAACCACTCTCCTTACTTCTACTTCTTCCAGCTTTGTTTCAGTCTGGGAACTGTTGGTGTGCATTAGACATGCTCGGAGCAGTGTCTTCCTTTCAAATCCTTCAAAGACGCTAGACAAAAGCACATGCATCAGTTTAGGGAGCAGAGGACACTTCTTAGCCCTAGGAAGAGATGTTAAAGCTGAGATTATGGGAATTCCAGGTGTGCAGAAAAGCCAAGCACAGATTTCACAGGCACTTACTGAGGCACTTCTCCATGCTATGGGATGAGGTGGTGTCAATATCTGACAGCAGCTGAGTACTGAGATTCAGTCACAGTTTTGCAGTAAGACATTCTGGTGCAACCTCACCCTTGCCACCCACAACAAGTCCTCAGGCAAATCAAGTTGTTATGGTCAGGTTTGACCAACAGAATGAGAGCCTTGACAAAGTGAAATGATACTGAAATAAACAGCACCTTAACCTATCAGTCCACTTCTTTGAGTGGCTGTTACTAGGTAATACCAGCTTCTGGCAGCATCCTCTAGCTTTTCAGCCATCAGAGCCCCAGACTGCTGACTCTCCCCAGGGAAGAGGACTCTATCAGCCTGTGACAGTAGTGGAAGCACATAGCTTTCCCTTCCCTACATTAACAGAGAAAAAAAAAGTATTCTTCCTGCATTCACTCTTTCTTCCCTATTCTCTACTTTTTCTTTGAACCAAAGCGACACTTTTCAATTCAGTATTTTCTCAGTTTAATTGCATCTCCAGCTGTCATGGAACTTCATTTACCAATGACCTTAACTTTAAGAAACGGTAAAGTTTAGGTATAAATGATACCTTTTACACGTGTCACACAGATAGACACAAAGTTAAAGCAACTGCTGCTCTCCTTGAAACACTCCTCTTTGGAACTTTGTTAAATTCAAGAGAGCAATACAGGTTTTGGAGGAGTTTGGCCATTCTCCCCCCCAGCTGTGCGTGTACAGGAAGGGTTTTCAGTCACTATGGAGGAAGTCTGCCCTGTTGTCTAGCTGTGTCCTCACAGTACGTAAGCTTGAGGAGCTGTGCTTCTCTCTGTAAGGGGATTTCAGCCAGAAAACTGAGATAACTGTAAACTGCCCAATACAAACCTGCACTGAGGGTCCAGTCCCACCGCATCTCCTTACTCTCTTCTCTCACCTCAGCTTCCATCAGGGCTTAAGGTGTTGGAGCAAAGTGCTTATCCTCCCCAGCCCAGACATCAGCATGTTTCATGAGGCAGTGCTAAGCCTGAAGCAGCTGTCTCAGCTTCACATCGTCCAGCTCTGCTTATCTTCCATCACCTTCTTCTCAGCCTAGCTGCTACCTAGGACGCGCACTGCTGCTTTCTACCAGGACATTATGCATCTTACAAACAACGATTTTGCTACCTCTGCCAGCACTCCCTGGCCCATCAACTATGTTTGTTCTTCAGTGGAGGGTAAGGGTAGCCACACAGTAGCTATTAGGAAGATAAAAGTTTCAGTTAAGTCCCATAGAGGTGTCTGTTAGACATGTAGACACATTAAATTAGGAATGACTGCTCTGTGAAGTCCCACAAATGTAATCTGCACTACACAAATAGCACTGTGCACGTAATGGGCCAGCTCCAGGTTAGCTGCAATATTCTGTTTGTTGCTTGCAAAGAAGCTAGTGCTGGGATGACTTCCCAGAAGAAATCTCACCTCCTCATTTAGTCTGTTATCCCACTTTTGCAAACATCTGCAGGCTCTGATTTTTGGGTTCTGTGCTCTGTTAGTCACGTCTCCCAGTACACTATTCTCCTCAGCATGGTAAATGGACTGTTTTAGCAAGCCCAACAATTTACAGTTCATGTTCGCTTATATAAACGATGTTGAATTATTGCATGAATAAAAGCATTTTGAGAAACACAATTGTCTTGGCTGTATTGAACTGTCAAGAATCACTGCTCGCAAAGGTGTGACCTATCATGCAAGTCAGCTTGATGTCTACGAGGAATAGTGAGGCAAACCTACAGAATCTGGCAAGGCTGGAGAAGACTGAGGATAGAACAGGGCCAGGATAGACAAGTCAGAGCAGCAGCTTGCTCCCATCAGATGGTGTTAATCTTGAGCAGGATGAGGTATATCAGGGCAAAGAGAAGGCTGGTCCCTGCATGCACTGCCGAACTTTGCACCTATGGCTTGGATGTGTTCATGATCTGTGCTGGAATTTGTAGAGCTGAGTTGTTGGTGTAGGGGCCGAGCGGCTGCAGGGGCATGTCCCATCATCTTTAAATTCCTCCATCATAAATAACAGATCTCTAACTCTGACTGCAGGCTCATGTTTGAGTAATATATACCTACTTTAGAGAAACTGAAAGGTACCAGTGTGTTTAGTCTGCTGCATAGTAGGGAAAACAAAACCCCTGGCTATTAATTGACATCAAGGCTTTATGGATGTTTGTTTGTTGCAGTTTACAACCATACAAATGACATTTTGTAGACCAGTAAGTTAGCTCATGGTCACTCTGCTCTTTACGAGTGACATGGACAAAGGGGAAACAAGGAAAGACTGGCCTGAAATACATGGTAACTTCATACAGCTGCATCTTGTCTGCAGAGAGACAAGCGGCAGCAGGTCCCCATTGCTACAGGTTGATAGCCTGGATGCCAAATGCATAACACAATGTGGCTCCAAAAAGAGTCGTGAAAACATGTACCAGAGAGAGGGAGTATTTCATACTAGAAGACAGGATCAGTATTTCAGAGATACCTACAAGCAAGCCATCTTGCTTTAATATACTTACTGAGTCTTACAGCTAAAGCCTTCAAATCTAAGGGGCTGTGACCCCAAAGCTGCCAGGGCCAGTAATGGATGTTGTGTTGGGTCTGCGCTAAGCACATCCAGACAGGGAGCAGCAACAAGTCCCCTGGGGCCACCAGCCCCTGCCCCAGGCATGCCACAAAGCGGCCAGTCTCCAGCTCCACACAGCCCTACCTGGGAGGTGCCTGCTGCATAGGGCTGGAGCTGCAGTCATGTATCAGCTTTAGGGAGACACAAGCAGCCCCAATGCCCCAACACATCAAATCCCTCCCCTCTAGTCTGCAGAGCAACCTCTATTTTCAATTTCTGTTGCATGCCTTCTTCCCCCTTGCCCTGTAAGACAACATAAAATGGAACTGAAGCAGCGCTAAGACCAAAGCAGATTTTGTTTGGTTAAGTTTTATTCACATGCACAGGGGCAGTATCTCTTCTAACAATCCACATACTCCAATGGGTGTAATTTAGGTAAAACTTCTTTTGCCAAATGAGCACAGCTACCTATGGCTGTTTCACACCTCTGCCAGTGCTGAAGCAGCTGCCACTGGTGACAAGAAGTGGCTGAGCAAGAGGCAGGAGATGTCTAGTGCTGATGCATTGATCCTGTAACTCCTCTGAGGTGGGGAGGATGCATCGGTACCCCTTTGCACCTCCCATTGCAAGGGTTGTGGTCTGGGTTTAGTAACGCATATAGATGCTGCTCCCAGCTGCCCACACCACCAAGGGACAGAGGTGTCAGCCACTAAAAGCAGCATCTGACCTAAGAAATAGGCATTGAATGCTGAGACCCAAAAGAGGAATAGGAAAGTGACGAGTGAGAATATACCCAAGGGAAAAAGCAAATTTGAGAGATGGCGTAAGGAGCAGGAAATGGTGTGCAAGTAACAGTAGTGGACATTAGTGGTCATACAGGCATCAGTCAACTTCCCCTTTATATCAACTGGTTGGAGCAAGCCAGTATAAAAAGAATTTCCATGGTACTAGGGAAACAAGGATGGACAAAGGACTAGCCATGGAAAATAATAGGGAAAAAAAAAAAGCAGTGGGAAACTAGCACACAAGAATTAAAAAGAATACCAGACCAGCCCAGACTGAGATTAGTTTCCCCTGCTCATAACTGCTATCTTGTCAGCCTGGCACTGTTCAGCCTGTTTTATCCTTCCTGCTCTTCTGCAGACCTGAGTGCTGAGCTGTTTGCACTTCACCCTGAGAGCTGTGATGTCCGTCAGTTGTTCAGGAAAAATAGTTTCTCAGATGTAAACATACAGAGATTGAACCAAGCTGTGTAATTTGGGACAAGTATCACATCAAAGCCCTTAAAACCTGGTGGGGGACAGCACAACTGCATTTAGGTCCAGAGTTTCAGTTAAAGCCCTTCTTCACGCTTGTGTTGAAGATCGTTACATTAACATTTAGGTTAAGGCAGAATAAATCCTATTAGGACTCAGTCGTAATCCTTCCTATGAGCAGCTTTTGCAAATCCCACTCTGTCATTCCCACGGTCAAAAATGCAGTAAAACGCAGACATAAAGACGTCTCCCAAAATCCAGAGCAGACCATTGCGAGTGGGGATGTCGAGAGACTGAAAGCCGCTCATGCAGAAGGTTTGGTCTTCAATAGACTCCTGGAAGAGAAAGCACAAAGTGTCCTTGGGGTAGCCTGCTCCAGCCCCATCTAAAGAAGCAGGAACAGGGAGGCTGCAGATGCGCACCTTTATGAC